CCTGGTCAGGAGCAGGTTATGTTCATAGTTTCAGATTTAAATCAGCTGAAAGAGTTTCTCCCTTTAATCAGATCGTTTCCTGACTGTTATTTATGATAATACAGATTCTCAGCTGAGGGAATGTGTTTATCTGCCAACATGCTGATCTATACGTTGCTAACGTCACTAAATGAAGCCGTGTAGTTGCAGTATTGCACAGTCTGCAGAGACGGAGCGCTCCGCACAGGCAGTACTTGGCTGCTGATGCCAGGTTAGGTTGGCGGTCACAGTTCTGTTGCCACCATCGGCGGTGGCAGCGGGGGGGTGTGCAGGCTGGGCAGATTGTGGGCAAATATATATCATATATCACCACAATGACCGAATATTCTGATATTTGGATGTTCGGGTCCAATCCTTGCTGTCAGGTCCGTTTACTCTGCTGCAGCTGATAGAACAGATCAGAACATGGATCATTCTGCTGGTATTTATTACAGAGAATATTCAATCAATAACATTAATTCACTCTGATTGGGCCAAAAGTTAAAGTGATTTCCTGCATTCTGGGACAGTGTCAGACCTAAATGACCTTCAATACCAGATCAGGTTTAAATGTATGAAGTTTAAAGTTTAACTCTAACGTGCAGCTGTCAGCTGGAAACTGCTGCATCAGTAAATATTCTACATGAACACATTGAACAGTTTTCTACCAGCATTCCTGTCTTCACCATTTACAGTCGCAGCTCTTTTTACCGTCAAGAAAGTTGAACCACCTTGGTGATACCCGTAATCTCTGGCTGGGGCTTTCGGTTTTGTCGATTCGGCTCACACAAAGAAAGCCTGGCTATGTCAAACCTGCTTCGTAGTTCAGCCCTCAGAACTATGAAACTATGAAAAGAACACATATGGAATTATCTAGTAAACAAGAAAGTGTTAAACAAACCAGAACATGTTTTATATTGGAGTCCTCTTTTGCTCTGATGATGCTTTACACACACTTGGGATTCTCTCAGTCAGCTTCATGAGGAAGGCAATTAGTGGAATTACTTCCTTTTGTAAAGCGTCTTTGAGTCTCTTTTGAAAAGCGCAACATAAAACTTATGTATTATTAGTTCTATTATGTTTTAGTCTGCGTTTATCTGTTTGCTGGTTGGTTTGTTTGTTAGCAAGATAACTCGAAAAGTTCTGAACAGATTTTCATGAAACTTTCAGGAAATGTTGATAATGGCACAGTGAACAGATGATTACATTTTGGTGATGTTCTGGCTTATCGTCTGGTTATTTTCTCATAAAACAGTAAATGCTGTTTAGTGTCACAGTTGTGCAGAATGCTGTCGTTGCACCGTTTGTCCACTAGATGGAGCTCTGACTCCATTCAGTCCTTCAGTCCTCACTGCTGTCTTCTCAGTAGTACAGGAGTAAGCTACAGCCAGGCAGCATCACAGGAGTGGGTTGAGCGGAGCTGCCGACAGATAAGTTCAGAACCACGTTGTGCCATTAACGATGACTCAGCAGGTCTCCTGGTTCACTTTAACTCTCTTTGCCATGAGTCAGGACGACTGACGCCTGCTTCGTTGCATCACTCATTTCCATTGCATTGCTAAAGTTGTGCTAACCTAGCTTAAGCTACTCCCTGTTTGTTTATGTTAGCAATAGCATCGCTGTAATTATACCAACCTAACATAGTATTAGCCAACAGCTTAAAGCCAGTAAGGAGCTGCAGAAATACGTGTAGACAATATTTGAGAGTACAGAACGACTGTTCTGATTCTCCATGAATCTAATCGTGTAGATAAAGTGAATGCAGGACTTTAACACTGGCTGGAAATCACAACAAGGTGGAAATGAGCTGCTTGGTGAAGGTCTGAGCTCTCAGAGGACTTTTCTAGTTATTATTATGACTTGCCTTCTTAATTTGTTTGAGACCATCAGCTGTGTTGTGCAGAGGTAGGGTTAACAAGAAGAGAATTGTTTGGTCCAAGAAACACAAGGAATGGGCATTAGACCAGTGGAAGTCTGTGCTGTGGTCTGATGAGTCCAGATGTGGGGTCTTTGGTTCCAGCCACCGTGTCCTTGTGAGACCAGAGAAGATGAGCGATGGTTTCTGCATGAGTGGTTCCACTGTGAAGCCTGGAGGAGGAGCTGGGATGGTGTGGGGGGGATTTGCTGGTGACACTGTTGGTGATTTATTCATAAGTCAAGGCTCATTAACCAGCATGGCTACCACAGCATCCTGCAGCGCCGTGCCGTCCCATCTGGTTTACTGGGACCATCACTAGTTTCCAACCAGACAATGAGCCCAACACACCTCCAGGCTCTGAGTGCTGCTCAGATGACCTGGCCTCCACAATCAGCCCACCTAAACCCAGCTGAGATGGTTTGGACCGCAGAGTGAAGGACAAGCAGCCAACAGGTGCTCAGCACCTCTGGGAAGTCCTTCAGGACTGTTGGAGACCATCCAGGAGACGACCTCATGAAGCTGATTTAGGGAATGCCAAGAGCGTGCAAGGCATGCAGATCAGCACCATGATGGAAAAATTATGTTTCTCGTACAACATAGCGCAGTTTAGTTGTCTGAGAACGTCATTTTGTGGGGAACAGGGTTGACTAATGCACCAAATAAATATGATGGTTTAAGACAGGTCATCAGCAGATATTTGCATGTGTCCAGTCAGGTTTCTGATGTGTGCTGTTGGTTCTCCCATCAGGGGTCTCTGACGTCAAACTGGAGCAGAACACAGCAAACACAGAGCCTGACCTTTCTGAGGATGAACCGAAGCTGATGACGGTGAGAAAATGACTCCATACTGACATTGCAGACAGTTTTAAGGGCTCAACGCACAGCAGGGAACAGATAACAAACTCAAATACTCGTGCAGCAGTTGGTCTGGTGTAATCAGCCATTTCCAGTTTGCAGTGCTCACAGATGACAGACACACATTAATGGTCTCTGTCTGAAATACTCTGACACTTAGGGATGGGTACCGAGTACCAGCATTAATTGGTGCCGGTAATTCGGTACCATTAAGCTCCTTATCAAATGGTGCTGATGTTGGTATTTGTGACGGAAAATTACTACCTCTGTAATTACGCCTCTGCAGATGGTACCGACATTATCTTCTGAACTTCTCCTGACCTCCCCAAAAGATACCGTATGACGTCAGCAAATAAAACCATCTCAGATATAGGGTGACCTTCATCTTGACCCCAACTCCCTCCATATTATAATGGATGTAAGTTATATTAAGTCACTCCCACATCCGGAGACAAGCTATCTTGTCTCCCTTCTACCCATAACTCTAGACATGGCGCTTCACCAAAGGACAATATAAGGTCAGTGGTACAGGAGAACCGTCAGAATTGATGCTGGCAGTGCTCGTATGTACTGCTGTTGTGTTGGTGTCACTCCTCCTGAACTCAGTAAACCTAACTGGCAGCCTAAGTCATCTGAGTGTCCAGCGTGTGCCTCCTCATCCTCTCTCAACCTCGCTGAATGTACACAACAGTATTTTTGGCGTGTATTGTGCAATGTTATTTCAAGCTAATGTAGACTGCAGCTGTACCCTAATAATGATGAAACAGGTGATGAGGTATGACGTCACATCGTTGTGCTGCTGTTGGCTGCTCTCTGCAGCAGCCTAATGACGGACAGGGCAAAGAGATGGAAGGTTGGGCCTCACTTCTCTAGATTTATCAACAGTGCAGCGTGTTTAGCAAAGCAGCTAATGCTAGTAGAGTAATAGAGCCTCTGAGCCCCACTGGCTCCGATGCAGATGCTGCAGGAAGTCACAGAACTACAAGTTCAGATAACAACACTAGTTAACTTTACACAAACAAGTCTATACAATTAGCTCTATGCTATGTCACAGTTGTCATTGATTTAAGCACTTTCGTAATGTCTAGCTAGCTAGATAGATAGATAGATAGATAGATAGATAGATAGATAGATAGATAGACGGATAGAGTTTAACACTGGACAGTGAAAGTGTCTCGTTTGCACATATAACAACACAAATGATGACAATAACAAGCAGAATAATGTTGAAGCACGTTATGGCGAGTCTTTCAACATCAAGGCAGGTAAAGCAGGAGGTAAATGCTGCACGAAAAGCAAAAACAAAGGAAACGGTGCAAAGGACTCCTGGTTCTTGAATGGATTTACATTTCATTCATGTTAGAATTTGGCTCCACTGCAGCATGAGAGGCAGATAAGCTGTTATCAAGCTGCATCTAACTTAAGTTTTACACTCCATATGAATTTTTTCAACACTGTTTCACTCCCAGCTTTCTGGACTTGTAGTCACATACAGTATATTTAATTAATGACCTCAGTACTGTGTAGACTGTACTGGAATATGTGTTGGCCTCACACACCTTGGTTATTTGTCACAAACACCTCGTGTTGTTTGTCTCTGAATTCCAGAGTTCATCGAGCTTCACACCTGAAATGCAAACAGAGTCTGCACAGATCTTATACAGGTAATCACACATCAGCATCACTTTACCCTGTTTCAGCTGCTTTCAGTCTCTCCCTCTTAGCACTGACACTGATAACCACATCACTGGTTCCACACTAAGATCCTCCAAAGCTTTGTTTGAACAAGCTGCTGTACTTGTAGCAGAAATCAACCATTTTTGATGTATGTACTGATGTGACATCGTCTTGGTCTCCTGGTTGCTCTTGTCCTCCTCTTCTTCAGTGTTGAATGGGCCTAATGTGTTGTCATCTGAAGCTGCTTAAGTTTCTAATGATGACAGCTGAGATCCAGCTGCGCTATCAGCTGCTAGTCAGCTTTATAACACACTGTCCAGTATGAGGGACCACACTGTCAAACACCTCAGTCTCACAGTCTTTCCACAGCAACATAATTTGCCTCCTGCATCCAGACCAGAGAACTGACGTCTGATCTCAGGGTGGGGCTTCAGCCGCCTCTCTGCACCATCGAGCTGCCTGCAGAGTTCTGCAGGATGTGTTCCATGGTTCCACCTTGTGGACAGAGTTGGACTTTTGTCTCTGTTTAGTCTCTTTGTGTAAAGGTTTTAATGGGCTATTTGCAGCAGTAAACTGGGTAAGAAATCCCAGACCCTGGGGAGCTTGGCAATCAATCAATCAATCAGTCCATCCATCCATCCATCCATCCATCCATCCATCCATCTCTTCCGCTTATCCGGGGTTGGGTTGCGGGGGCAGTAGGCGGAGCATGTCGTTCCAGACTTCCCTCCCCCCGGCGACGCTTTCCAGCTCTTCCTGGGAGATCCCGAGGTGTTACCAGGGCAGCCGGGAGCTATAATCCCTCCAGCAGTTTTTGGGTCTCCCCCGGGTCTCCTCCCAGGTGGACATGTTTGGAAGACCTCCAGAGGAAGCCTCCCTGGAGGCATCCAATCAGATGTCCATCCCACCTCATCTGGCTCCTTTCGACGTGACGGAGCAGCGGCTCTACTCCGAGCTCCCTCCGGATGTCCGAGCTCCTCACCCTGTCTCTAAGGCTGAACCCAGCCACCCTGCGGAGGAAGCTCATTTCGCCTGCTTGTATCTGCGATCTCGTTCTTTTGGTCACGACCCAGCGTCCACATTACTGCTGACGCTGTACCGAGCCACATGTCCACCTTGCACTCCATTTTCCAATCACTCATGAACAAGATCCCGAAACACTTAAACTCTCTCGCTTGAGGAAGCAACTCCCTCCAATCCACCGGTTTCCGGCAGAGGACCATGGCCTCGGACTTGGAGGTACTGATCCGCTTGGCAACAAAACACTACCAAAATGTGCAGTGATTGACACGTTATCAATAGCAGTCAGAACATTTTATAGAATGTATGATAGTTCCACTTCAAAGCATCAGATCTCCATGAAAACACAAACCAAAAACACCAAGTCCAGCTGCATGAACAAACTCCAGGCGTGCTCGCTCTCTGGATCATAATCAGCCTGTCATACCTTTGGTGTGTACATGTGGGTGTGTAACCGGTGGTTTCTGTACTGCGTTGTGATGAGCCGAAACACACATCTTTTTGGAGGCGCTCTCTGTTTATTGACACTTGACAGATGATAAAAACAAACATCACTGTCAGTTCTTGACTTGTCCTGCTACAGAAATTAAATGACAGGACAACATATTAGAACCAGGAAAGTAAACTTATAAGGGAAATTATCTACATTAGACAACACACAGACAACAGCAGCACAGTCTCGCTTCCCTCTCCCACAGAATACATGTACAAAAGGGTAGAGGCCATGTGGGAAAAACTCATTTATAGGGCACGGTGGGCAACCAAAAACAAACGTGGGGTACTGGGAACCCCACGTGAAAGGTTCCACACCAAAGCCAAAGGCAGACTAGATTTTGTGGAATTCTGTTAATTAAAAGTAATAATAAAATAACAGTATATTAAATTATACATAATACCATTTGTATAACTAACATAACAGTACATTTATATTTAATATAAAACTGCTGCTGCACCACTGACCCTGTTACAGGTGCCCCAGTGTGCTGTGGTGACTCTTCACCCATCCTCTTCACCTGATTTGGCTCTCTGTGCCTTCTTCCTCTTCCCCAAAATATAATTCAGGTTCAGGGGTCAGCAGACGACCCCCTCGTGTCAGACGGTTAATGTGACACAGGTAAAGGTGCTTGGTCCTAGTGGGAGTGTCACACAGTGTCGCATTAGGAACACTTGTGAGGATAAAATAAGTGGAACCTGATTGAGGAACACCATTTACCAGCAGAGATAACACATTTTCATTTCAGGGTTTTCCAGGCTTGCTGTGGTTTTTCAGCCTTTCTTTGTCCTGCAGGTTCAGGTGTCCTGGCCCAGGTGTGTTCCAGTGTACTCAGACTGGACTGGTGTTTGCTATGGCTAAAGGGGCGGAGCTGCGGTACAGGATCGTTCAATGGGATGAGAGCCGCCTCACACCAGCCGGCAAGATGGCTGCAGGACCGCTGTTCAGCATTCAGTGTTCTGAGGATGCAGTTCGTCGGCTCCACTTCCCACACTGTGAGACAGAGGATGGTAAGCTGTGTGCTCTCTGGCTGTTAAGCAATGAATCGTTATCTTAAGGTTTGTATTATTTCTGGTATATTGTTAAATTAGGAGCATTTAGTAAAAGCAGTGAAACAAGATTGTGATGGAGTTTAGTTATAGAACCAAATGCACACATCCAGACAGATGAATGACAGGATGAGGGTGAACTGGAGATCCTCGACGTGTTTTGAAATTAACATCAACAGATTCAGTTGAACTAAAAATAATTGGGCAGAGATTAGTAACTGTAGCATCTCTGTGCTCTCACAGCGCTGCGTCTGGACAACCAGCTGTCTGTTGTCCACTTCACTGACGAAGGAATGAGCATGTTGAAGCCGCTGCAGATCACTGACACCCATGTGGTCGTGGAGGTCGCTCACCTCTCTCTCTTCGGCCTCATCTGGAATACGATTGAAAGAACGCTCTCACTCCCAGTACGTGGCCAAGTGGTGCTGTTCCTCCGGCCTCCAGGGAGAGCGCCTCGGACACTTCATGTGTTTCTGCTGCAGAAAAACGTCCCTGTGGAACAGGTAAAGTGAAGAGAGGTGTGTCTGTGGTCGCAATCGAACCGTCAACCCTCACATCCGAGCTTCAACATGTTTCAGAGCTGATGTCCTCTGACCTGATGTCCTAGTCTGTCTTCACTGGCTACCAGTTGCCATATCTCCCCTGTACTGGTGTCCTGGTCTCTCATAACTGGTTGTCAATGACCAGCAGAGACTTTCAGTCTCTACTTCCACTCTCTTTGTTCTTTCCACTCTCCCTGGTAGGATCCTGGGCTGATCAGACGTATTCTGTAATTCCCATCTAACGAACTTTGGTCAACATCCAAGGTTTTCAATACCTCCATAAAAAAATAGAGTTGGCTACCTGTTCATTCACACGATGCTAAATGTGTTCTTTCTTGAAGGTTGCTGCCAAACAAGGAAAAGCAGAATACATCCCGATCTCAGCTGAGTGTTTTTTGAACACTGGTCAGAATTACAGTGTCCTCTGTGAACAGGAGGGTTTGGAAATACAGCCCCTGGTAAGTGAAGTCTCACATGGTCGTGAACAAAATCATATTGAAAACAGATTCACTGTAAAGGAGCGGTGGATCAACGCTTATTTCTGCTGTCAGAGTGATGTGTTTGTGCTGTTTCCAGAGGGCAAGCTTTTTCTCACATTTTGGACCAAACTTCCACCCAACATTTGAGGTTTTCCTGACGACAGACCCAGATAAAGTGACTTTGATGGTCCAGGACCAAGAGAGGACGGAAGTCTGGAGACGTCATGTTTATGTGAGAGGTAAACGCTTCACCCTCCTGCAGCAGCAGAAACCCCTTCAGCTGCTGCAGGGACATTTTGTTAAAGGTCAGCTGGTATCACCTTTCTTCCCTTCCTTTCCATACAAACTCCTGCCAGTTTGTTTCAGTGTGTTGTTAATAGATTGCACTCTTTGCAGATGTGCACACAGTCAGCTGCAGACATTACAGACGCTTAGTTGGTGCTATTGTACGATCTTATAGTCTGCTGGAGTCAATGTGGAGGACTCTGTTCTAGACACACACAGCTGGTTATCTGCATATTCTGAGCATGTGCACTATTGCAGCGTAGTCCGAAATCCTGGGTCCTTCTAGACACGAATTATGTAACACTGGTCTTGTAAGGAAGAAGAACTGTCCATCAGAAAAAACAGACTTTTATGTCAG